AGCGGTTCCTCTCTGTGTATGCAAGTGCGGTGGCCTCATCCTGATGTTTAAAGAAATACAACTTGAAGTCTAGTGAATCAAAATGATAAGCAAACCTACAAATAAACAGAAATTGTTCATATCACAGAATATACGGCCCCATGTCCTACAATTTTCTTTTCCAATTTTTCAGTTTTGCATTTTATTATTTTAAACAATACTTTTTCTATGTACTGCTGCTTGCTAAATTCACAAAAGGAATAGCCAAACATTTCATTTCTGATATACATACATAGCTTTTAAAAATATATACAGCAATAAAGAATCACCACATGCTCAGGCTTTTATCTGAGTAATTTTCATGATCCCATGGTAGTACAAACCACAGTAATTAATGCCATAATAGTTAACATCTCCCAGTGTCTAATTTTGTATTTCTCACTTTCTTTTAATATAGAAAAAAAACTTGCCTGTGTGGCAGAACTAACTGGAATGTATCAGCTGTAACAGTGATTTTGTTTTAAAGTCACCCAATAAGAAGCACCTGCTGAGTAACCTGGTCCCTCTGCAAACAGAGCCTCATGTGACAGCCCGTACCTGAGGCAGCCGGTGGTATTGCGCAGAACCAGGGATGTCTGAAACTTCATTTTATGATCGTCGTCGAAGGAGGAGCTGTTCCAGCCGGAGTGGGGCACGATGACGGTGCTGGTCAGCGTGGACAGCGCGTCCCTGATGATGGTCATCTTCACCGCGTCGCAGGAGGACAAGTTCCAGAGGACCCCTGCGGAGCGAAGGAGCGTCGCGGCCGGGTCAGCAACACCCGGCGGCGCTGCCACCTGCAGCAGCCTGGCACCAAAACAACCCCCTGCAGCCTGGCACCAAACCAACCTCCCTGCAGCCCGGCACCAAAACAACCTCCCTGCAGCCTGGCACCAAAACAACCTCCCTGCAGCCTGGCACCAAAACAACCTCCCTGCAGCCTGGCACCAAAACAACCCCCTGCAGCCTGGCACCAAAACAACCTCCCTGCAGCCTGGCACCAAAACAACCTCCCTGCAGCCTGGCACCAAAACAACCTCCCTGTGCCCAGCCAGAAAACACCATCCCTCACGCTGCCAACACAGGGATTTACACACTGACAGCATTGATCAATCCGTGGCCAGCAGGGCTGCCATCGAAAGATTCACTTTACAGACTTGAAATTACATTTTGTAAAGTCCAGGTTGCAGTTTGTTCAACAGCTCTCAGCTGGGCTGCCTGGCTGGGCGCAAACCCTTCCATGAAAGAGGTGCCATGTGCAGTAATAATGAGAACAAACGCAGCAGCAGATCAGCAGCTGTTTCCTGCCACACTGAGAAGGGAAACCTGCACATTAGCGAGTAAATAGGCTCCTCTCTTCCTCAAGGAAAACTATCCGACAGAAGCACACGCTGGCTGACGGGGGAATTTCCTTCCTCCCTTGCTTGCACAGTGGCTCGTTCTGCTCCTGGCCAGCAAGGGGAAGTCCCAGGCACCACAGGAGACCGGACAGATATTCCCTACCAGTGCTCAGACTCATCACAGTTTGCAAAACACCCTTCCACCCTCCTGAAACCTCTGCTGTTGCTCGCTACTCATCTCTC